TACACACTATCCAAGCGGTGCGGTAATGTTGTGCCCTGCTTAAATACACACCATCCCAATTAACTAGCTAAAAAATAAAAAAAAAAGGGTTTTTGTGACGCTAACAGAGCCCCATGGGCACGGGCACTTTGGAGGTACAAATTAATTACATTGTTTTTAATGATGTAGGTACAAAATTAATGCATTGGAGTTACCACTTAACGTCGAGAAATAACAGAATTTTAATATATTAAATAGTAGTATAATACCCCCAAAGAAACGGCTGGTCCTGCAAACGCTCTCTCCATCGTCTAGTCCCCAAGCTTTCCAAACTCTCTCTCAGCATGTGAAACTTGTCTGTCGCAGGGAATTCAACGGACGAAGAGAAAATCAGAGAAAAAGCGAATAAAATGTTTAGGTCATTCAAGAACAGGTCAGAGAAATCTGGAAACAGATTTGATTTCAAGTTCTCCAACTTTCAGGTTCTTCAGGTACCTCTATCTCTCTCATTTTCACCATTTTCCTGATTGACATTCGCATTTCTGCTTGATTTTCAGTTTCTCAGCTATGAATTTGCTTTAATGTCATGGAATCTCGCTGCCTTATTTGTCGAACTTCACTTGTTTATTTCTTTCGTCCGGCATCTAGTTCTGCATTTGCAGATGCAGTGTGTTCATGTTTCTATTCTCTGCTTCAGCTGTAATTGGCGGTTTATTAATTTCATGACCCAAGAAACACGATTGTATGTTGACTTTTGTTTTTGTTTGAGATCTATTCTTATTTCAGCAATTTCTTAGTCCTCATAATGCGGAATTGCTGCTAACCATTTCAATCGAATTTATTTCCATATATGAAATTCTGTAATCAGCATTTGCAATTATGGTTAGATTTCCTCGAATTTTTTGGAGTTTCACGTTGGCGGATCTGTTTTTCTCTTACACTGCAGAGAGATCCGTCTATTTCTTCTTCTTGGCACATTCCACTATCACTGATGAATTTTGATAACTTAAGACCTAATAATTTACATTAATACTTGGTTTGAAAATTGAGGAATTAGCAGATATCGCTATGTCCAATTTAGAACTAGAAATCTCATAACAAAAAAGAAAAAAAAAAAAAATAGAACTAGAAATTGGCATTCATTTGTAATTATAAATCGTTGCGCAAGTTTTGGAGGTGATAGAGAATTGTGTGATTTGATTGAGAAAGCCAAAGATTTGTTTAGTTGTTAAAATGAGTATTACTAAGAGGATAAAATGTGATGTTAAGGATGTTTGTAAAGTTTTCTGGAGAATTTTTATACAGGAATTCATTAAGCCATTTGCGGTAATTATCCTTCTCTAATCTGTTGCAGGGCATTTATGGTCTGTGTTAACTGATTGGAACCATTATTAGCTGCAATGTGGAATTTTATCTTGGTTATGTGTTTTAAGTTGCTGTCAGAAGGAGTTTGAATACTTTTATCTGGATTTGCAGGTGCCAAAAGGATGGGACAAACTTTTTGTGTCTATTGTGTCTATGGACACTGGGAAAACCATAAACAAGTCAGGGAAAGTGTTAGTGCGGAATGGAAATTGTCGTTGGACAGAGACATTCTCAGAGTCAGTTTGGATCCCAGGAGGTGATGCTTCAAAAGGAACCGAAGAGTGCCTCTTCAAACTTGTTATTGCCATGGTATGATGTTTGTGTCACTTGTGTATGAAGCTGTACTTATTCTTATTGTTTTGGTTTAGATAGGACAACTAAATGATATTATTGTAGGGATCATCTAGATCTAGCATCCTTGGAGAGGCTACAATTAACCTGGTGAGCTACTTAAGTACAAAAGTCACTGTCCCACTTTCATTACCATTGAAGAAATGTAACCATGGGACAATCTTACAGGTAAGTCATCTACAATCGAACAAGTTTTATTTGAGTGGAAATCATCCTTTTTTTTAGGTAATATAATTGAAGTTTTGAAATTGTATTTTCCTCTAGAATACATGGATGCTACAAATGGAACACAGCACCTCATTGATCTTTAGTCTTTGCATGTTTTTATCCAAAGATCCAATGTAGCAATCTAGAAGTTTCTTTGAATTTCACTTGCTCACAAGTATTCTTTATGCTTTCTAGTTTAAACTTCCCAGGCTGAAGATTTGGGCATTGACTTAAACTTCAGACACTTTTGGGAAAGAATAAAGATTTCTTATTGAAAGGTCTTTATAAAGTTTATTGGAAAGAAATTATGCAAATGGATACACTAGATTTGAGTTTCCTATCTGCTCCATCACCATGTTTCTGCTCACCAAACAATCATGCTATCTAAAAGTATAAGTTAATTGATTTTCTATTATTTAGTTTGCAGTTTTAAGCTCAATTTTTGTGATAGATCTGACATGGAAAGTTACTCCTCTGCTCTGCAGGTCAAAATTCAATGCTTGACACCTAGAACAAAACTCAGGTATGTGATTTAGTGGAAAACTTTATAACTTTTTGACATCATATTTTTACTGTGATTGTGAAAATTTGCTGCATCTTATAAAGGGATGAGCAGTGGAAAGAAACAGATTTTTGTTTGGAGGATGAGAATCCTGACTTTGATGACTTGGAAAACAAATCTGATATTTCTGATGGTCCATTTACCAAGAGTGTTGGATCATCATCAAGTAATCATTTGGAGGGTACAAGTCAGCCTGGAGAACCATGTAGTAGGGTATGGTCATCTCATACTAAGTTGCTGATGTTATGTTAAGACATGCATTGTTAAATTTACATTTCTTAATTATTCTATTTTAATGAAAGCTCTAATTTAAAAGTTAATTTGTTGGCTGATTCAAAATAATAATAATAATAATAATAATAATAATAATGAAATCTCTAATTTAAGCAAATGAAACTAATGTTGTTTTCTGTTAATACATTTTGAGAGCTTTTACATTTCAATTTTTACACCTTTATACATATGAATAAATCAATAAATAACAAATGAAGGTATAATGACAGTTAGTCCATCAAAAGAATGAGCTCTTTAGTTAATGATTTCCAGAATGGACTTAATTTCCATTGTTCATGCATCAGAAGACTCACTTCTTTCACCACTCTGTGGGTTTATGCCCTTGGCTTCATCAGGTTGGGACAAGGATTCTTTTGCTTGTTTATTAATAGAGGGCTGGGAGCATGCCCTCAGTTTATGATATTAATACCGTTTGGTCCCATTTCCATAGTATTATCAATTTGACCTAGTATAAAGATGTTGAATTTTATAAGCGGAAAAAAAAAAAAGTTCTTTTAACTGTGGTCTTTGCATTGCTTACATGTGACTAGCAAATCCTTCTTATTTTGCTGCAGGATACAACTCATACAAGTTTATCTGCATCAGGTTCACGTCATAGCTTTGAATCTATGGATGGATCCTTTGGCAGGGAGAGTTACTCTTCTCAGAATGGAGCTTTGAGCAATGCAATTGGAAGACAAGATTTAAGTGGTTCATCTCATGGATATTATTCTTTTAATGAGTTTTCAAGGTCAAATAACTCATCCTTTAACTCAAAGTCAAAGGTCTCTGCTTCAGGAAGTCATCTTCAGAATCAGAGAGAAGAATTCAATCGAATTTCACATGCTGTTCCTTTATCACCACTACGGAATGTTGGTTCATCCAAGGACCAGTCGGAAGCTGCAGAAGTCAAAGTTGAGGAGCTTCGGGCAGAAGCTAGAATGTGGGAACAAAATGCTCGGAAGTTAATGAGTGATGTGGAAAATTTGCAGAAGGAATTATTTGACCAGTCATGTCTTGAAATGGAGCTTTCAAATTCACGTTCAGAATGTGATAGCTTGAAGCAGGAGGTTGAACAACTGAAGATCTTGTCTGAGTCATTGAAGAAACAAACTGCTGCAGAGGATCCGAAGTTTCAGTCTAAAGATTTGGACAGTGTTCAAAAGGAGTTGGAAAATGAGTTGAAGTTTCAGAGGGAAGAAAATGCTATTTTGACCTTACAGCTGAAGAAAACCCAAGAATCAAATATAGAGCTTGTTTCCATTCTTCAGGAACTAGAGGAAATGATAGAAACACAAAAAATTGAAATTCATAACCTTTCAAGGATGAAATCAGAATTTGAGGAATCTGGAATGGATGGTCATGGATGTGAAGACTATGAGCAAACAAATGCAAACAGTCATACTTTAGCAAAAAAGGCAATGTCCCCCTGTAATTCTGATCAGGAAGGCTGTACTTTTGAACACCCAACAACAAATTTACATTTAGGAGCTGGACCTAATAACAACAATGAGAACCTGAAGCTCCAGCTTCTTCAGCTGCAGGAATCACAGAAAACTTTACAAAATACTATTCAGTCACTGGAGAAGGCTTTAGAAGACAAGAACCTTGAACTAGAGATTGAACGAGGTCTGAAGAGCCAATCTCTTATGGAGTGTGAGGCAAAGTGGAAATGCAGATTGAGTGAGAGAGAGGAAATGATCATTGATTTGGAAGCCAAGTTATCCAATGCTCTTGATGCACAAGGTTTGAAGGAAATGAGTTTTGAAAATGAAGATAATCGTAATTTACCTGGAGAAATTGAAGTTTTAAGAGTAAAGGTTCAGGAACTTGAGAGAGATTGCAATGAGCTTACTGATGAAAATCTGCATCTTCTTTTCCAGCTCAAAGAATCCAGGAAGGAACTTCCATCTTGTAGTCCCTCTTCTAATTCCCCATTACAGCAGAGTCCTTCTGCCAATCACTTTCATATTCAATCTGTTGATCTTGAAAATAAATGTGATGAACTCAAGCTACAGTTGAAATCTTTTGAGGAAAGAGCTTGTTATCTTGAAAGTGAACTTGCCCAATGTCGTGCCAGAGTTGAAGAGCAAGAAATTGAGATCACAGCACTGCAGCAACAGCTAGATTTTTACAAAGGAAAGGAAACTGAGAATAAGGAAGCTCAGATCTCTGAATCACTTGCTGCCATTGAATTGTCTAAATTACTCACCGATTTAGATGGACAGATTCAACTTTCATTAGCCAATTTAAAGCAAGATAGTACTCATTATCAAAATTCACACACTGGAAGTAGTTGTAGTTCTGGTAATGTGGAGATTTGTAAAAACACAGATGTAATCAGTCACAAAATACAAGTTGAGGTTATCTTGAACAATTTTATCCAGCTAAAACAGTTATTTGAAGCAAGTAGTACATTTTATGGTGATGAACTTCAGAATAGCAAAGAAGCTAGAGCTCCAGTACGAAGTGCTGATGCTGTCCAGAATATGTTGGAGGGTCATAATTTTGAGGAGGTTTCTTCTGGTCAGGAAGAGAGAGATGTGGAAGGGGAACTGTTGGAAAGCAGATCTGAGGTAGAGAAGCTTAAAGCTGACAATTTGCTTAAAGAAGAAGAACTTGAGACTCTTAGGCTTTGTGAAAGGCAGTTAGAAACTCAGATTTCTTCTCTTAAGAAGGAGAAAAGCCAGATGGAGGCAAAAATGGAAATGATGCTGAGAGAAAGTTCCATTAGCAATATCAATTCCCAGATTGCAGTCAACAATGCTCTTGCAGATAAATCTTCAGACATTGAATATAGTACACATGAACTGGAAGTTCATTTATCTGAACTAGAAGAAGAAAATGTACAGCTATCAGAGCGGTTGTGTGGTTTGGAAGCACAATTAAGATATCTGACTGAAGAAAAGGAGACAAGTCGTTTGGAACTGCAGAATTCAGAATCAAAGGCTACAAGTCTCCAAGATGAGATGAGACAATTAGAAACTGAAATGGAGGCACACAGGGTTGGTATGAGACAGAAATTGGAGGCAAAGCAAAAGTGCTGGTTAGAAGCTCAAGAAGAGTGTGAATATCTAAAGGTTGCAAACCTGAAACTCCAAACTTCAACTGAAAATCTCACTGAAGAATGTGGTTTGCTTCAAAAAGCAAATGCAGAACTAAGGAAGCAGAAAAAACAGTTACATGAACAGTGTACAGTTTTGAAAGTGGAACTGAAAGAATCAGAGAAAGTCTTTTCTAATATGTTGAACAGAGTCCAAGAACTTGAAGAAAGATATTCCACATTTCTGGAAGAATTTGCCTCAAAAGAGAAAGCCCTTAATTTAGAACTGGATGCACTTCTTGTGGAAAACAGGAAAGAGAAAGATAAGCTTGTCACAGAAAGCAACCTGTTAAATCAGATGTACCTAGAGAAGACAGTTGAAATTGAAAATCTCCAAAGAGAGGTATCATACCTCACTGAACAGATATCTGCAACTCAAAGTGGAAAGGGGAAAACAGCTTCAGAAGCTGTGCTTGAAGTGTCTCATTTGCAGGCTGATAAAGCTATTCTTGAAGGTGCTCTTCAGGATGTCCAACAAAAACTTCAATTATGCGAGAGTAACCTCAATATCCAGCAGCTGGAATCTGAAACAGAGGTGCAGGGGCTTAAGGAAGAGCTAGCTGTTGCAAAGCAAAAGGAAGAAATTCTGATGGCTGATCATGAAAAGCTGTTGGAGTTGTTGGAAGAAGTGAAATCCAATGAAGAGAAACATAAAAGCACTGTCAGAGGGCTCGAATTAAAACTCAAAACTTCTGAATATGAAAGTCTACAGTTAGCAGAAGAAGTATCTAACCTTAAGGATCAATTACAGAAAATGGCACTCCTTCAGAATGAAATTGTGGCTCTAAAGAGAACAATTAATGAGAAAACATTCAAAAATGAAAGGCTGGAAGCTTCATTCCAGATGTTATCCAGCGACTATGGAGAACTTCAGGCTGAAAATACCTCATTTCTTCAGAAAATTTCTTGCAGTCAGGAGGCTATTTCAGAGCTAGATGAATGCAGACATAAGAAAGTTGCTCTTGAGGAAAAAGTCCTGCGCCTTCAAGGTGATTTAACTGCAAGAGAAGCATTGGGAGCTCAGGAAGCTGCAGTAAAAAATGAGCTTGCCCAGATTAGGAGAGAAAATAGTCAATTCCAGAGGAAGATAAAGTGCCTTGAGAAGGAAAAGGAAGAGTACCTGAAGAGAGTTGAGTCTCCTGAAGAGGACTTGAAGCAGATAAAGGAAGTAAAACAGGAGCAATGTGAGTCCATGAAGGCAAGTGTTTTGCCTGACACCAAACCCGAGAGTACAAGCACTTCTACCAATGGCAACTTGAATCTCTCTCCAGGGGTTAGTTTCAAAAATACTCTAATTAATCTTTTAGACAGGACACTGCTCAAAAAAAAAAAAAAGGAGGACAATAATATCTTTGTAGAGGTTCTTGTTGCCATAGAAATCATAAATTTTTGGAACAACTTTTATTTCTTGTGGTGTTTCAGGTTGTCCACAAGCAAACCAATGCCGGAAGTTCTCATGTTATAGGATTTGATCCTATCTCAAAGATTCAGTATCTTGAGAATGAGCTAGCAGAGGCTCTAGAGGCAAATGACATGTATAAGGCCCAGCTCAGAAGGTGTGTAACAAGTGGTTCCAGAGTGTAAAAATGGGTTTTAGCTTCTCAATCTTAACTTCTGACAAATAGAATAATTTTTTCATAGACATGGTCCATTACGATATTCCACATTACTTTTCTTGGATGACATTTTGCATAGTCTATTATCACATTGCAGCCATGCCATCACTCACATCCATGTGCTTGACTGCTTTCTGATAAAGTTGCTGGTGAAGTCTAATGCATTTGTATCAGAATATCAGAGTAGATTATATTATAACACTAAATTATATTTATAATAGATTATTCAATTACATACCAGTCGATTCCAATAGTTTAGAATGCTTTCGCATTGTATTCAACAAACTTGGATTAGAAGGCTGGATAGAATTCCATTACCTATTTTCAAAAAAAACAGAAGGCTGGATAGAATATCCAAACTTAGGTTGGAATTTAGTAGATATCCTCACTCCCCACTTCATCTATCTTGGTGAGTGGTTCATAAATAGTAGACTTTATCCCTTATACAACATTACACAAATTGATGGGAGTAGGAGTACTTAAAAGATGCATGATAAGTTTTATTGAAAAGTAAAAGATCTGTGAACCTTATCCCATGTCTACTAATATAAAAATGTTTGATTATGGTTGTTTGCTTTCAGCTTCTTGTCTGGGGGAGTAGGTAAAACTGTAGAAACAAAAGATGGATATGAGATCAACTATTCAGCGTCACTTGAGGCAGAGTTGAGAGAGTTACAGGACAGGTACTTCCGCATGAGCCTCAAATGTGCTGAAGTGGAAGCTCAGCGGGAGCAACTTGTAATGAAGCTTAAAGCGGCTAATACTAATGGTAGAAGGGGTTGGTTTTCATAAGCCGGTTTGGATTTCCAAACGACTTCATCTTGCTCCAACACTGACAACCCATATCCTCAGGTTTTTTCCTCCCCATAGCTTTATGTAAAGGTCGTTGTTTATGGAGAATAACATTTTTATTGTTCTCAACTCCAACTGGGGCAGTTGAAAGTAAGGAGGAGGGGGGGTGGGGGTTTGGGTTGTCAAAACCGGCTGCTTTTAACAATAAAATGTGATTATGCCGGTATTCATTCTACGTATTGGAGAAAATCAGAGGCTGAATCAATTTAAATTTTTGTGATGTTATTCATCCTTCGTTCATTCTCAGCTGATACTTACCCTTCTAAATTTTTGTTTTTTATATTCAGGGGTGGAGGCAGAAATTTTTTTTAGGGAGGCAAAATACTAAAATTTTTAAAGTTTAAGGGAGGTTAAATAATTTTTCATATACTAATTTATAAGATTTTCAAATTTCAGGGGACGCGAGCGTCCCTTCACATCCCCTGGTTCCGCCACTGTTTATATTGTCTGCGTGATGGGCTGTTCCGCATCACTGAGTATCTTTTTTTTCAATCCAAATAAAGAACTTTTTTTTTTTTTTTGAGAGAGAGGGAGAGAGAAGAAAACATATTTTTTAGTAT